TCTTCTCCCCAAATGGGATGCAAACTGGGATTCAAGGTTGTCGGTAATTCTGCGTTCTTTCTGAAACAACAGTGGGTTTTGAAACCAAAGAGGCGGGTTGACTCCTTATGGTCTGAATGAAGAACTCTGTTACACCAGGAATATAGATTCCTCGTTTGCTTGATGATCATCCTCATTTCCATGAATTCAAACTGTCATATGATATCTCATATTAGATGCTGTGTCCCCCAATTCCCAGTCTTAACGCTAGGATTCCCTGAGCACTTTAACTTGCATCTCGCTCTATAGACCCATTCGACACTGTCCTCCGCGACATTGTAAACAAGTGTCAAATTGCGACCTATACCTGTCATACTTTTTGTTTATTGAATATAACTGCGGTAAGGCATTATATACGGATATGCTATAACTTTAGATAGAAAGGCAGAAAGACATATTCCCACGCACCGTGTTCAGATGTTCGTTCGTTCTCGTAAACTATCAACTTCCCAAGTCGAATTCATGCACCAACTTTAATATTCGATATACTTGTAAACATTTAATTATTGAATTGTATAGTATTTATCGATCAATTCTAATCACTAATTACATTTCTAGTCGACACCGGAAACGGAAACAACAGATATTCGCCTACACTCTAGACAGAACAACAACTGGCTACATTAGTTAATGCCTGAACATAGATACGCTTTTCCTAATCACAACACTCCACTTGATAGCTCACCAATGTCATTCAAATCTGCTCCTGTTGAGCCTCCTATGCCAGCCACAATGACACCGTCGCCTCCTTTCCCATCTCCCACCGGTGAACCGTTTTTATCACGTTCATTGCCTCCACTTGAGCCTCAACACTCTGCCATTCCACCTTATTTAACCAATCAACGACGAGGTTCGATTACGGACCCATCTCTTCACCTTTCTGTTCCTAAACCAGAATTACCTAGACAATATTCGCAAACAGACGTAAATTTTGCATCCAACACTCCAATTTCACCTCCAACTGAACGAAGAGGGTCATTTGTAACGGATAACTACCCAGCTTCACCCTCTTCATCCCTTTCCCGACCGTCTTCAGTGAAAAGCGAGCATTCATTTTCACTAATGGATACGAGGAATAAACACAGAGAGACCTTACCATCAATCAGTGCTAGCGCCAGCCCAATAAGAGATGGTTTTCCAGGACCGCTCATGAACCCAGCGTTTCAAGCTCAATTTGCACAAAGACGACACTCTATTGCGGTCGGTGAAGTTGTATCTCCAGCCAATAAGCGAAAAAGCTCACTCAGTGCTTCCGTGCTTTCCAACTCTATCAGCGCTGAAGATTATGCCGGCAAACGAAGAGATTCAATGACCGATCCTATATCAAGACTATCACTATACGACCGTCGTAGCTCATATTCTGCCCCATCTAGTCCGCCGGCACAACCATCATCATCTCCGCTTGCTTCATCCAGTAGTCCGATGCCCAAGCTCAATGTGCACGAAGTTGATAACAGCCTACAAGCACATGCGGATGCGACTGGCTTACATCATCCTTACGGAGAAAGCGCTTCTGAACTTCCTGGTAACATGGGACCGTCTCATCTCCAAGATCAAACAGATGCTCAGGTTGCATATCCTCTATTCAATCACCGTGTTTCGCAAATTGTACATGAAGACGTCAATGGTGCCCCCATATTAGCTCGCAGAGCATCTATGCCCCAGATGAGTCTTCCTTCTCGATTCGGCGACCACAGTCAACAAGAGGCTACGCCTATGGATGTCGATCGATATCGATCTCATGGTTATACCACTCACAGTCATTCCTATCATCCATATGCATATGAGTATCCGGGATATATGCCAACCACACCACCCGTCAAAGATACACCTTACTCTCGCTCACCCGAGTTGAGAATTTCTCACAAGCTGGCCGAACGCAAAAGGAGAAAGGAGATGAAGGACCTGTTCGACGAATTGAGGGATTCATTACCGGTTGACAAGAGCTTAAAGACTAGCAAATGGGAAATATTGAGTAAAGGTATGTAACATATCTGATAACTATTATTAAAGTACTATTTTACATGAGATGTGTGTACACATATATCATATTACATATTATTTAATTAACATTTACTTATTTAATTATCTAGCTGTCGACTATATTAATAGACTTAAACAGAGCCAAGACGATTTAAGCAAGGAAGTAGAAGCTCTGAGACAACAGTTGGCAGCTTTTAAAGGCTGTAGTAGTAGTAGCAGTAGCAGTAACAACAACAGCAATAACAGTAATAGTAACAATAGTAATAACAACAATGGAAACAACTCTGAAAGTGCTAATCTCAATATAGATTAAGAATGATTGCCACTCGTCCAGCGATAATTCTCATGGCAAATACGATAATTAATTGTTCGTACCGACGCGCATTATCACGATTTAATCCTACCGGCAGAGAACAGAGGACAGATTAATCATCAAAGATTAGTGTTCTACGCATCGACACTGAGGTCGTGAGTAGGAAAGTCTAGCGTTAAAGAGTCACTAATTGTTTATTTTATTTAACGACGACTAGGAGGCTCGAATGTAGTTAAATTCCTAGAGTCATTAATCAATCGCTCATTGATTTGACACACACTATGAATCTACAATCAATTTATTTGACCATTGTATTTGATAGAGACGGTTGGGTTTTATTTATTCATAGTTATTTTTGTATTTAGACAAATCATTTCTGACTTCGTATTATTGGTCAACGGATGAATTATAAACATTTTGTTAAATAAATTCAAACTATCGCAGTGTATTAATGTCCAATAATAGTACAAATTTATATATTTTTGTAAATGTATTTCGGTCACTCTCCTCTTTATAACGTTAAAAGATTTCAAACTGTGTGCCAGCAGTTTGGCACTTCCGCTCCCAGCTCTAGACAGCGTTCTAAGTCCTCTATTCTATTAATTATGAGATAATAATAAGCTGATCTGAAATAAAAGTCACATGAATCAATTTAAATTAAAATATTACTATTTTCACCCGATGTCTAATATCGGCGCAACTTCTGCAGTCTCCTCTTCAGCCATTAACCGCTTCTCTTCCTAATCCGTGTTGTTGCTACGTACGTAGAAGACTCGTTCGTAAGTTGTAGCGAATCATCGTGTGTGGGTAATATAGAATGTCGTAAAGAATTGTTTACGCTTGGAGGAGACATTGTTGTGAAGCAATGCATGTGCAATACTGTATTATGAGAAACGTGTGTTTGAACTCTTTCATCAGTTATGGTCGATAAACCGTATCGTTAGAGACTTTTTCGTGAGTTGTAGCGAACAGTCGTATGTGCGTAATATGTATGGAGTAGCATTGGAAGAGGATTTGTTCGTAATACATTAACTTGGTAAACAACTTCGCATTTCTGTTTTGGAAAAGTGGTAGTTGTAAGACGATACGTGTAAAACGGTATCAGTTATCGATACAACGCTGAGCGTCAAGGGATTCGTTGTTTGATGATGACTTGTTCATGTCGTACGTGCAATCTGTATTATGTAGTCAATGTTGTATGTTTTGGGGTGGGTTGGGGTATCGGTATATATATATTAATATATAAGGAGATGGAAGATGAGAATCGCGACTGTCATAACCAGTGTAACACATGCTTAAAAATACAAGAACAACGACAGTCCTTGTCTCTCATATTTATTGCACGTGCATCGCATACAACAACGTTTTCTAACAATGACACATAATATTCAATGGGACTAGGTCTTTTACCCGTCTATCTCTCGTATTAAAATTAGGCGATTAAGATTACTTTCTTGGTTACTTCTTTCTTTATATACGTATTTGTAAATTCGACCATGTCTTTCTGTTTAATACATTGCTTTTGGTGGACTATCATCTAATCGGGACAAACTGTCGTTAAGGCACAACAGCGAATAACAACTTGGTAGATCTTATTATTTTTTCACTGTATATTTTATAATATTGTGAGAGTCATTGATTTGATTTTCTTTTTTTGTCTTTCTTTGTATTAGTTTGTAAATGAAGAGATCAAATGACTTCACCCCTTCGTCTTATATGCAGGCCAAATTTGACCCTTTAGCTTTTGGGACATTTTTTAAGAAACTTATCATTTGTTCTTTGGTCGTTGATAAAAAACATTCATCATATTTTCAGATTCCAGAAATCATGGCCAAAAGTGGTACTAAACCACAAACTTTTTAGTTTTTTGTAAACTTGACCTTATTAAACTATGTCAAGGTTATTAGACGCAATCTTATTTCAAGCTCAATGAACCAAAGATTTCAATAAATGGACAAGTTGTTGAAAAGTAACGAATTTTAACGATAGGCTCTCATGTTGTGTAATTAGGATATAATAAATAATAATAATAATTTGCTATCAGTTTAACCATTAAGATACAACTACAACGCTAAATGTCTCAACTAAATTGGTTACACAACTTTGCTACAAAATTTTTACTTTATTGTATTTTTATCTCTCTTATGCTAAGCATGTCTGTAAAGTTCTACGATAATAGCTGCAATTCTGAGTATTTCGGCAAACTATATATGCGGGAGTATTTACTTGGTGATTTCAGGAGATATGGTCAGTAAATCAAAATTCGGTTCAAATTTGGACCGAAAACAGTCTGTTTGTTATGCCCAAATCACGCGAACGGTAATTGGGTTTGATAGGCGTGAATATATATACATACAGCATACATATATACGTATTAAAATGTCGAGTGGGTGTGCTGTAACGACATACTTTTTGGGCTCAATGACAGTCTGGTCGATTGATATTCATAATTGCATTTTTGCATTCTTATTGATTGGATTGCGCATGAAATGATTTACATATTCAGTCATAATGTACTACCATAAAACTCCAAAGTCTAAAAAAAAAAAAAAAAGAAATAAACCCAGTGACCCAAATGAAGGCATACAATAACAATCTACACTATTAACATAAGTGGCTACAAGAATGGCCTCTATTTTGATTACTTCCGCATGCCATGAGACTATTAATCCAGATTAGCGATTTGGTAGAATTGGTCAATCTGGCATCAACAAGAAGACAAGTGTACATATATCAGCATCCCGCCATCAACATCGATTGCCCAAATTGGTAATTATCATTACCTTCGAAATCCAATCTATCATTTCTTGTTTAGAAGAAGCTTGTAGCATGTAAGCGTTGTTGTTCGTATAAATAGAAAAGACGTATTGACGCTATAACCAAATATGGTCATAAAGAGTTGAGTTAGCCCATGTTCAGATATGTACTCAATTTCCCCAACTATCAGGCTCACCTTTAACATATCTTCTCTTTCTTTCATATAGTCAACACGGACAGACGACAGATTTATGGCTCCAAGTTCTTCCGTTTCTGTTTTTGACTCATAAATGAACAAATATGGCCTATAGACAGCAAAAAGACAAATAAGCATGCTTTTCCAACATTTACATACATATTACAAAACCATAAACTAATCATACTTTACCTTCTCAAGACATACCACCGCTTCACCCAGTAATCGTCAGCATTCTCTGGCGTATATAGATAACCTTTTTTCGTTATTTGGTCACTACGCAATATAAAATAATGTCAGCAAACAACACAAAAACGTCAAGGCAAGCTATTGCTAGTTCACAATTTCAAGTATGAACTTACGTCTTCCCGACCATTCGCACTTGAGCAACTAATTTGGTGTCTTTAGTGTGTTTGTACGTTTCTGCGTCTGGATAAGATCCTGACAAAGGTGGATCTTGATTAATTACAATCTACAAATTATCAAGACTTGTTAGAACACAACGTTAGCATCCAATGTTCCGACAAACACCATAACGAACACTGTATTACCTCTTTTGTCGTGCCCCATTTCTTCATCCACAAATCACATACTTTCTTATATAACTCTTTCTCGTCTCTCGCAGGGCTACCCATCTTACTACTGGCGCCAGCAACGGTTATACGCGTTTCGTCGATGTTGTAAACCTGTTTCATAAACTCTACCGCTTCTTGCTTGCGTATTGATTCACTTATTCGTTTATAGTCCTTAACCAATGATACCCCGCGTGGTTTCCAGTTCCCAAGTAATTCTTCGCCGCGCACGTATTTATTCGCAGTATTCAAACGCCACAGCTCCGAAATCTTGCGTGTCATTGGAGGCTTGAGCGTTATAGAGAAAAGTCCACTGGTCTTCCATAGCACTTTTGATGAGTTCAACAACTGTATCAATCTGGAAGGTGGTCGAGCTTCCCTTCCTTGTATTTGTACAGCAATATCCATGTTGAAACAGATAGGCTCAACGCATTTTTCAGCTTCCACGTACCATGTTAATCTCAACAAAACTCGACTATTAGATTGAGTTGTGCGATTGAGGAATAGCGAGCCATGTAGTGTACTGTCCCACGAACATTGAGCTACAAGAGTGCTCGTCCCATCTATGTTAAAGTCGACTTTTTGGGGAGGCACTATGTTCATTTGTACATCGTTCTGTGTAGGCGACTCAGCTAATCTACCCTTGCCATCAAGCAATCGAACATGGCCAATTTCCATCTTGCTTACACGAGTCCATGGAAATTGTCGACCAGAATTATGGGTGAGTGTTAACACAATACGACGCTGTAAGCCTTGTCTTAAGAAAAATGCTCCAGGATCAAGTGAATTTTGTGATAGCACTTGCACTGGCACATAATCTCCACTAGGAGCCATCTCACAAACTTGGACCCACGAGACAACATCGTGCTTCTCTTCGGCAACAAGTTCTTCTTCTGATCGCCGTTCACGGGGAATAACACGCTCAGGTTGAAAATCACCAGTATTTGCTTGAATTTCGTCCCACTTTTCAATTTGCTGCAAAACACAAGGCTTCGCTTTCCCGTATATTTCGAATGCCAACATGCCGTTCGTAAGTACCTCTACTATCGCTGGTGTAAGCGCTACTGACAAAGTCTGTGCATAATCAAAGCGAATTGGCCCTGTACCAAAATCACTCTTAAAATCTGTAGCATAAATGTGTTCTCCCGATGATAGAGGAGGAACCGCTCCGAAAGACGAAAGTTTAAACTGGATGTGAACTTGACTGTATTGTTCTTCATTCATTCCAGTGAGTTCCTCGATCCTAACCTCAAATACGGTATTTTCGGAAGGATCTTTCGATTGCTTGGAATCACTGATGAATTTAATTCGAATTAAACATTGAGCTATGGCTTTTCCGGAATAACGGCAAATGACGGGAACTCGTTGTTCGTATTCAGACTTTAAAATCAAACATCTTAAAGCCATAGACGCACTTCCAATGAATGTAAATTGAGGACAGGGGTTTTCATAGAAAGGATCTTCCCAGTTAAAATGCTTACTGTACTGAGGTCGGTCTATATAATTATACAAGTTGCGCATCTTTTGCATACGAGCTTTCAGTTTGTCGAGTGACCACACATATACCACTCCATTCTTGAAATCAATTACTTTCACACCAACGCACGGTTTCTTTGACAGATGCAGGGAAGTATCCTCGTTCGTATTGTATTGATTTAATGCTGACGTAGTTTCATAAAACGAAACAGGGTTGGTATATGGTTCATCTTCGATAATAGTAAGTTGATATTGAATATCCTTTTTGAGCTCTCTACTGATAACGTTCGCTTCCTTTAATACAACGGCGTTGCTTAGTATTGTTTCTGCCATTTGTACATATCGTTGACGTTTCCATTTCTTTAGTGTCTTGCGAATCAAACGCAGCTCTCCGTCTGTGTACGGTCGAGGCTCGGCAAAGTGACGAGGATCAAATGTCGCTTGCGCTGCAGTTAATTTAGCCATTTTTTCTTTATATGCCTGAGCTTGAATCTCGAGCATTCTTTGCATCTCTTCTTGGACCATTTTGAGTTTTTCTTCCATTTGTTTTTTCTCCGCTTTCAGTTCGTCGGCCTCCAAATTAGAAAGTGTCAATACACGCATCTTCTCTTCATATTCTTGTTTCTGTACTTCAAGTTGTTGTTGCATTTCTTCTTTTACGCCCGGGGGAGAGCCGTCCTCAACACTATTGTCACCTCTTCGACCAACTTGAATTTTCTTGATGTCTTCTGCAAGTCTCTG